TTACGTTTGCCGCCTTCCGTCTGCCAGCCGGCAGATTGAGCCCGATCTTTTCCAATCGATCCCTCAGCCTCCTGCCGCCGTCCTTCGATTTCGCTCTGAAATGTGAAACGATTTGTATAGAGGTTAAAAGCGTTAAAAGCGTCGTCGAACGGCACTTCCTGCTTAGAAAAGTTGACAAAAATCAACTAGCGCATTTAATCCGGCCCGGGGCATTGAAGGAAAATCTGCGCCGGCTTTTAGGAGTAAAAATGAAGAAGGGAGGAGAAAGCGTAAAAATGCCGAGGCCCGAACAAATATTGTATTGTCAGCTTTTTCGTGCCTGACTCGTTCAATTCGATGGATAATTTCTTTCCCTTTTCTTACCTTTTACACGCATGCAAAATAACCTTTTGCCTACTTTTTTTTCATTCATTCATTCATTCATTCATTCACTCACTCACTCACTCACTCATTCGGTCGTTTATCTATCCGTTCTCCTTTTCTCTCTAAATCTCCCTTCCTCTCTGCCTCTTTGCTTTCTGCTTCCTTATATGTGTTTAAAAGAAAAGAGAGAGATGGAGAAAGAGAGGAGAAAACCGCTAATGACAATTGAATTTGTGATAATTATCTAATAAGGCGGATGACTTGGCTTAAGCATATCATTATATTGGTTTTTTTTTGTATATGGGTTCTTCAAAGGCGTTAAATATTCGAGTTGAAGAGTTGTAGACGAGAAGACAAAAATGTCATTATTAAGATGTCAAAAATTGGAGAAAAAACACAGAGAGAATGAATGAATGAATGAACGAGTGAGTGAATGCACGAGTGAAGAGATCGAAAAGCGGCGGTAACAATAAAAGATTAAGAGGCGAGATGTAGGAACGACAGACAGACAGAGAGAGAGAAAGAGAACTATAACGGGGAATGGAGAAGGGGAGAAAGAGGGGAGGAGAAAATGAGTAAATGAGAGAAAATACAGACAAATTTTACTGGCTACCACAAATATTTGCCACCTGTATTCTGTTAAGTATATAGAGTCTAATATTTCAGACGAGATAGGAATCTGTAGCGGAAAAAACTCGTTACAGGATTTAGAGAAAATCGATAAGGGCGTTTTTTAGCGGAAATTTTTTTGTCCGATTCTTCTTAAGGAAACGGAGCAGAATAAAAGGGAGAACAGTAAAAGATAAAGCTTTAGAAACAATCAATTTTGTTCCTTATCTCTTCTTCTCGGCGTCCCTTTTTTTGAAATGAGAAAGAAATTGAAGAAAAACTAAAACTAAAGAAGAGAAACTTACAAAAAATGATTAACCTTGAATCCATCCAGGTCCTCATTTACATAAATGAACGGAAATGACAAGAGAAAGCTAATGACGAGGGAATAGGGGAAGCAAGAATAAATTCCCGAGAGAATTATAGGGAATTTTAATTGATTTTATCTTTAGAAAAGCAAATAAGGAAAATAAAATGAGGCGTTCTAGATGAATAAAACTTTTCGATTTTATACTCTTAATTCTAAACACACTTTCACCAACCGAAACAATAGGTGAATAAAGGAATCAACCGCCTCCTTCCGCTCTCCTGAACAATCGAGCATTGAAATCGCCTTTGAACCGCCCACCGAAACTCATCCTTAACCAGATAAACGACCGAAAAAGCCACTCGAACGAGCCACCCACGACGTCCTTCTAACCGTCTTAAGGCCCTCGAAAGATCAAAGCGGTCGATAGAGGACGATTTTCCCTTTTCAAAAAGAATAGAAAAAAGGGAGGAAAAGAGAGAGAGAGAGAGAAAGAAGAAAATAACTCTTTCCTAGTACGTCTTTACGAGTCATCTTTTTGAAGGCAAATTGACTTTCTCTTTTTGAATAAGACTTAAGTTTAGTGGGGAGAAAAAGATACGCAAAATATCGTTCAATTCCATTATCATCCACTTCATTCTCTTCCCCTTCCCCTTCTCATCTTTCACTTCCTTTTTCTTGTGATAAAACTTGCTCCCTTTTCCTCTCCTTTCAGCTTATTTAACAAAATAGTTTTCCTTTCTCGAAAGCAAACGAAACGTACGAAAAGAAGTCGACGATTTCCGGATAATGGTGTGTGTATAATGATGTATCAAGTTGGTAGATTTCTTCTCGGGCGTCACGCCGAGAGACGCGAGAGTATAATGGAATGCCAGGCGGGACATCGAAAGGAGACGGTCTATAACGAGCGGCGCGTTCGTTAAGTAGGTAGGAATGCTATGAAAAAAACAGTAGCCAGAGAGGCGAGCGGCAAGAGGCGAGAGAAAAATCCTCTGGGGAACGTTTTTCACTGTAGAAATCTTTCGTAATATTTACTTTATGATTAGGGATAATTACGCTCGTCTACCTACTTATTACTAAGGGATTAGTGGATAGAGTGAATGATGGAGTACCTTTAGATAATAGAAGGGGAGGACGATGGGCAGTTATACTCTGGTATGGTTGCTGCGTAAGTGTCTAATATACAGTATATTAAAATACATATATATACTGTATATAATGCGAGCGTGTGTGTCCGTGTGCGTGTGTGAGAAAGTGACTATCTGCCAGGTTTTGTGGGGGTGGGAGAGGTGTAGGTATAGAAGTGTAAGAGGATGGAAAAAAGGGGGCGGAAGGGCGAACAAATAAAAAAGAATTAAGAGAAAAGTAATACGCGTAAAAGGGGAGAGAAACAAGAAAGACGGAAAGGGGGTCAACTGTAGTGGAAAGTAAAATAATAGAAACCCCGGCGATAAACACTGGATTCGCTTACGCACTCGATCTTCCTCTAAAGCGCCATTAAGACGGCAATACACTCGTAAAAGTACGCGGCGTTGTATACGTGTCTAACTACAACTAGGCGCCTTTGTGCTCCGTAGAGCACCACGTGACCAGTTGCAACTCACCTCCGTAGAACACCGCCTAATAAACTGGCGTTGAGACATTCGGGTGGGCTTAACCTTCGTTGAACTTCGGCGACTGTCACCTTGTATTTGGAGGTAGACGAGAGGAGTGATAAGCGGCCGGGAACTTGGCAAAAGACATCAGCCGGAGAGTGAAGGCCGGAGACAACGAGGTCCTTGTTATCGTGTTTACGAACTGATGAAGCTGTTTAAGAAGAAACAAATATTCGTTATCTAAACATGTCAATGAGTAATAATAGCGACGAGAGACTCGTTGCTGTATGATAGGAAATGACGAAGGACAAAAATAATAAAAAGAAAACTGGAACGGCGCAGCAAAGTAGCGGCAAAAGCGGCTTCTTTCACACGCGATTAAACCTAGTCGGCGACCGGCTAATGAGGGCGTCGATTGACTCGTTTCCTCTGCCGAACAGTCTGCGAATTAACCGCCCTCTTCCTCGCATTCCCAAGAGTGTGTTGCAGCTTTTTTGCTGCTTGATGATATTTCAATCGACCGATATTTGCGTCGCTTTGAAGAATCGTCTACTTAATTTGCATGACTGCAAAAATCCTCATACGAGCATGATAAAAAGATTTTTTAACTGTCACGTTTCATTCTCTAAACTAAAACAATGCCGTAAAATTAACTGACAAGAAATGACAGGGAAGAGGTAATATAAGCCCTATAAACATACGCAAAAGGGGAGAAGGATGGGCGGAGATAAATAACAAGAGAGAATGGAAGGAATGTCTGATGAATCAATAAATTTTTGTACATATATATATATATATGTATGTATGTCAATACATGTATGAAGTCGTATATACATACGTTAATGCGCACTTGATTATAGATGTATACACTGATAGAGATATAGATAAGTACATGGCGGATAAGGAGAAAGAAGATAGAGGGAGGTAGAAAATGAAAGAAACAATGAAAAAGGCGACACGGACAGATAGGCAGACAGATACGCAGAACAAAATAGATAAACATGGCATGAGGCTGAGGGATGTGGTATTTAACCGGGAATAAAATGCTTTAGGAGCGTCGCGAATCGTTCAATTCCCCTGACTCTTTATCCCTTTTTAGGGAAGCGTTCAGCTGGTTTTTCTAGCCCGGATGAAAGCGAATAAATGCATGACGGTCGGCGCTAGGTACGCCATTAACGTCTAAGGTGAATACAGGTCATGTCCCGGGGCGAGCACAGAGTCTGATAGCCTGTGCATCTGTTCCCCTAAGCTTTCCCGCTGCGTTCAGGCGATAAACAAACGGCTCGCGTTCAACGATCGACCTAGATTTTCCATTAAAGTCATTAATTATACAAAGCCTGTGCATCGCGCCTAATTAGGCGTATTAATTAAAAAAGCGGCCGTTTAGCCTTTGATCCGGCTCCGCCTGCTTCGGGGCTGACTATAACACTGACCATTCGCCTCATTAATTGGCCAAGTTTGTTTTGAACCGCTTTCCTAAGATCTATCTATTATCTGTTGGGCGTGACTGTAACGCGTTTACGGCCGATAATTCTAATAGGATACGAGAACCTCGGCGATCTAGTTTGTCAAACTAGGTCAAATTCTGACGCTAAGTGGCTAACGCTTTCTCATCAACAGCATCGCGTGCACTTGGTAGGCGGAGCTATGGAGGGTAAAAATTAACTTTCTGCCCCTTTGGCCTATTCCGTAAGGTTTTAGGTTAGGCTATTGAACCCTAAATCGAAGTTGCTATCCTCTCAATTTCGCTCTCTTCTTACGACCCAGTCAACAAAAGGAATTTTGCTTTTTATATATGTGCATATATGTGCATGAATATACTGTATATATATATATATATATACATTGCTTGAATGGTATAGGATATACTGTATATATATAAAGTATACATGTACAGTATACGTACACATATTTGCATAAATTCATACAAAAAGAAAATTCATTTAACCGGTCAAGGTTGGTGAATAAGGGCAACAGATAGGCGTCTTAAGGGCGTGGAATTGGTTCGATTAGTTAAACGACGACTAAACGCTTTCTTCCAGGCAAATACAGCCAGAAGGGACAATTGGGAAAGGGTTAAATAGAGAAATATTCAACCGTTTGCCAAACCCCCCACATTCTTTGCCTAATTAACTAACTCCACCCCTCTAGCCTCAGGTACAAACTACAATCACACCGCAGATAAAGCGTCTTTATGTTTGTCTTTTTTCAGCCGCTCTCGTTTTATATTTTTCTTTCTCGTACAAGAAAAATATGAGAAATTAATTAATCTATTTTGCTCGCCAGCACTCAATCACGTTCGAATTCTTACCTCGTTTGATGACGCTTCCGTGTTCGGAATGAGCGAAGGAGGCGTCGCCGTCGCCCTGCAAAAGAATGTTGAAATGAAATGGATGAAAGGGATGAAAAATAAGAGCAAAACAATAAGAATATCGACATGAAAGCGGATAGAGCGCAAGTATAAAGAAACCCTTAGTCCATTTATATCTATCCCTTTCCTGCCCTCCCTCCTTTCTTTTCTCCATTCAGTCAATTTCTAGCCTTTTTTCTTCCCTTTCTACATCTCCCTTATCCTTATATTCTCTTTTCTTTTAATTAATTATTCACAAAAAACATAATTTTCACCGGCTGCTTTTTTTTTCCTTTACAAAAACAGTCGATTGTCGAGCACAAGCTAACAGTATCGATTCATTTTATATTTTTCTTTTCCCTCCTATTTTCTCTACACGAGAAGGATGGTAGGAGAGAGGAAGGGAAGAAGAGGCAGAGAGGTGAGGGGGAGGGGGGAGAGGGCAAGGGAGAGAGACAGGGAGACAGAGAAAGAAAGAAGAGACAATGTGCGTACGTCTCTACACGTGTAATCCTAATGTATTTTATATATATATATATATATATATATATATTAGTATTCTTTCTTTGCTCCCTCCCCCTTCTCTCTCTCTCTCTCTCTCTTTCTCTTATCCTCTTACTCTCTTGCTCTATATAGAAATAATTGAATAAAAATATAGGTCATCAATTTTTGCTGCAAGTAAAGGTTATACTAGTATATGTGTATATATGTACACAATATATACAGTATATATATATACTGTTGTACTGTATACTGTATGCGCTAAAGGCCTTAAAGCGTGCCTTAGAATTTATATAATACGAAGATAGATATTGAAATAAATTTTGACAATAAAAAAGGAATAGAAGAAAAAAAAACGTGAACAAAAAAAACAGAGAGAAAAAAAATAACGGCTGTTGGCAACGAAACTCAACCTACTAATATTTCTTTTTGTACTCTTTTAATTCTTTTTCTAATATTCTTATTTGAGTTGGCGCGTGCCGTCAATTGCCAACAGGAAAGAGGAGTGGCCGTAAAATAGTTTCTCACTTATACACTACTATGCAAGTATGTATTTATAGAATCTTTAAAATGAATCTACTACATCAACTGTATAGAGCGGTAAATTAATTGTTTCGAAGCCTTCGGGCTGCTTCTGTATAACCACGTTGTATGCCCCCCTTTTCTCTTCTTTTTACACGCTGCCGCTCTACGTAAGGTTAAAAAGGAAAGAATGAAAGCGACTGAAGAGAGGAAAAGGAGAGGAGAGAGAGGAGGACAAAGCGTTTTCTTCTTTCAATACTTGCTAACGCCCAATGCAAGATTGGACAGAGCGCAGAGAAAGAGTCGAGGAAGCTGAAGAGGTGACAGGTGGCATCGATCATAACTTATTTAACATGTAAAAAGTTGCAGGGGATTACGCGACCAGCTTATATGTAGACACTCGCATATACTCGCACAATCGCTGACGCGGGCACACACACACACATAGACACACAAAGTATATTGGATATACGCCCAAGTAACTTTTAAGCATTCCGAAACGCTTTTTACCTATAATAGCCTAATGGTCGGCTTCTCTTCGTTAAAATTCATTTAGCCTCTTTCACTCCTAATCTATTATATACATAAATATTGGAATATTTTCGTCGAGTACCCTTGGACCTTTTAAGAGAAAAATTCTCCAACCCTTGCCCCTAACTTACCTACTTGTTTAGGTGGGTTTTGTAAATGGTTCTTTTCTTTACTTGTATACAAACTCGTCTACGTACGCGTATAAGCAAAATTGTACGGCAAATAGCTAGTTAGCAGCTTGTAATACCTAATTATATTCAAACTACAAAACATATACAAGAGAGCCACCGAGTATACCGCAATCAAAGATGAAATGACAAAAAATATCGATCTACACTACATTTTTTTAAAATAGAAATATCCACGCAGATATTGATAGGCCTAGTTAATAAATCGACTGACTAACTGCTTAAATGGCGGTTGATGGAGGAATGGATGGAAGAGGAAAGATGAATGGATAGATAGAAAGATAGATAGATAGATGGATAGATAGATAGATACGTAGGTGAATGGCTTGGTCAGTCTAGAGAAATTTGCGCTAAATCGATTTTGGTAATATTCCTCATGAGTTGTTCGTTATCAAAAATAAAAGCCATTAGGTAAGCAGTTATGGCGTTAGACTCGGGTAGTTTCCTCTCTCAACTACAACCACACTCTAGAATGGACAAGTAGGTAGATGTTAATGGAATAGCCGCCACGCGGTTGTGTCAAATCATAACTAGAAAGGGGGAGGTATAAGGTGGCAGGGTGGAAAGGAAGTAGACAGGTCGAATAGAACAAGTAGGTAAGTAAGGGTAAAGATAAGGATAATGGTAGAATGATTGAGATTAGGAAGGAGGGGGTGGGGGGAGACGGTGTTTGGGAGGAAAGGTGGGAATATACCCATCTTCATTAAATCTATTACATTATAAAAAAAAAGAACAAACAGTTCATACTCTGACATTTTGTGACGCGTGTCAAACATGCATTATCAACTAGATCTCTTTACAGATGAACGCTTATCTTTCTCTTAAAAAATGTTCAACTCTACCCAGCCCTCATTATATCCTTGCCGAAGAACAGGCACGCGACTGTATGCATTCGTTCCATTATCGTTTCTATCTCTTATTACAATCGCATAGTTTCGCGATAAAGACTAAACGTGTGTGCGTACATTAATAATAATAATAATAATAGAGCTGATAATAATAATGTATGCGCGTATGTCCCTGTATAGTACATGCGTTTACGAGTACATGTAGTAGAATCGTACTTTATATTGTATTCGGTACCTGGGGAGGGATCGAGATTTAAGGCTCTTTATAATGATTACAGACGACGTAATTGTATAAGAAGAGTGTTGGGTTATGCAGTGGGAACAATAAAGATATTGTGTACCGCATATATATACAACGTACATACCAGTAGTATTTAAGGTATGCATAAAAAAATCAAAGAATATGTAGGCTATAATTATTTTTATATATAAACATACTTACGGATGTATGTATGCGTAGACGCCTACAAAGCGTTTAATAGAGAAATATACGTACGTATCTATCTATGTACGTATTCGCTTATGAACAAGTCTTAGAAATTCACCCCCACACGCACACAAGCACAAGCGTAAACGAATTTAATTGATAAGTAGAACTATAATCAGCTGTGGTTGACGTGCCTACCCTATAGTTTGGAGAGGAGAAATCTAGGAAAATACTAGCCCGTTGGTAAATATCAATATGTGTTTGGTTAGACGGCCTATCTATACGGTGAGGACGACAAACAGGCAAGGATTATAGAGGAGACTATTGCCCTAGAAACAACATCTAATCGAGTCGCGAACTGTTATCTGAGATCCGTGACATTTTTAATTGGAAGACACCGAACGCGCTTCTGCATGCTGTATAATGGTGATTAGGAGAAAGAGGAGGAAAAATTACTCGCGACTCCCCGGCTTTAATTAACGTCCTGTTACGGGCGTCAATCGAGGGCGGAAGCGTCGTCGAGGGCGCCAGACTGACGTCACAATGGCGGCGTTCAAAGAGACGTCCGCCTAATTAGCGCTTCTTGTTTTAACGCGAGTCCTAATGATGATAAAAAAGTAGTTTGTTTGTAAAACTAGACGAGTAGGGATGAAGAGGAGAATGAGTAGGGAGGGGAGAAAAATAAAGAAAAGAAGAGGCTCGAGAAAATTGGGTCAGGTATATGTTGTCTTTTCGAATGCCCGATTATTTTGATAGTCTATTATAGGGATATGCACCTGTTATAGTATATAATTCGCGCCAAAAATTGTAACAATGTCATTACGGTCGGCCGTCTATTGGATCTATCCGCCCTCCGTCATTCGAACTTGGCGGCGCGTACAAATTGGAGTAGACGTTCGACACTGGAACGCCGCTAATTCGAACGTTTCACGCTGAGCGCTCGAAAAACCAACAACGTACCGAGATTTATACTAGCCGCGTTCAGTATGAGAACGCAAAGCAACACTAAATGATATGACAATACAATCATTTTAATAGCTCTCCTATTAAGAGTGGAACTCAATCTAATAGTAATATTAGTTTTAGTAAAACTTGTACGACTACGTCTCTTTCTTCTTCTATGCGCATGAGTACGAAATAGCCTATCTATGAAGAGAAGCGCGCCAGCAAGGCGAGTAGGAGACAGACAGTCAAGCACCGGCGAATAAAGGTAACAACTACGCATGTTAGGAATGTTTAGAGTTTGCGTGTAGTGATAAACTTTGCTGATAGTACGATAAACAAATTATAGTATAAAGTTGACAGAGTAAACGATGACCTTTGGATGGAAGTTTGTAAGAAAATTGCTTTTTTCAGCCTTCTAATACGTATCGAATTGCTCGCTAAAAGATGCAATTTGACATTTTAGTCTAGTTTCTCTTCCAATATTTCGTATCATTCAAGTGACGATTTCGAAGGGAGGAGGCCTACTTTTCGGGGGGCTATTAAGAAACACCATGTCCTCAACGCTTTATTATCCTTCTCTATTCTATTTTTCAAAGTCTTTTTGAATTTCAAACCGATTTAATTTATGAATTGAAGCGAATTTTGACATTAATCGAAAAAAGTATTGGAATTTTTTACCCATTTTTTTCCCCTCTTTTCTTTTATCATCCTAGACAATAGAATCAAATAATTTACAAATAAGTGCTTTCAGTATAAATAAGGGCTACATTACAGCGACGTCCTACTTGTAAACATAGAATTTGAGAGAGAGAGAGAGAGAGAGAGAAAAGGGAGAAGAAGGGGATGGGGGGGGGGGGAGAGAGAAAGACAGAAAGAGAGAAAGAGCATATATATATATTCTCTTTCTATCTGCTTGTCGTCTTGTTTAGTCTCTTCTTCCCACTTAACATTTTCTTCTTGCGTATTATTTTTCTATATTTTAAATGAAATGAATGGAATACTCTTACTTTTCTTAAATAACCAGAAAGAATCTCTGTCTCTCTTCTTATGCTCAATCGCTCATTCACTTATTCGCTTTGCCTGCTCCCTCCGTCACTAACTCACTCACTCACTCACTCATTCTCTCAATCTGCTACCTCATTTTTCATATTAAATAGAAAAGAAAAAAAAAAGAAAAAAAGAAAAATCTGTGCCTGCGACCTTGACCTTTAAAGCGTCGACGCTCCGCCAAGTGCGCTATAATCGAATTTGTCCGTCTCGATTTGGGGGAGGGGAAGATTGATAGATGAACAGAAAGGAGAAGCGAACGAATAATCGCTTGGGTCGGTGTTTAAAGAGACGGTCTACTTTTTTTTTTGGTGTGTTTAATTAGTAAAACTTGTTAATTACGAGCAATTACGCGCATCAAAGGTGTTTCGGGCCATTTATTCTTTAGTTTATTTTCAGAGAATTTTAGAAGTTATAAACACGGGTTCCGTGTCGCCGCGTCTTGTTTGCTTTTTCAACTTTGACCTTTGCATAAACTTTGGGGCAAAAACATTGTCGCGTTTCGCTTTCTCCTCAAAAAAAAGTAACGCCCGATTAGACGGCAGAGGCGAACCGCCAGTAAACACCTGCTTCTACTCGACACTCTCGCTTTTTGCAGCAGACGACTGATTACGTCATACTAAATACTTTAACGAAACGTAACCGTAATTTTGGTGGTGATTGTATGGCGAGTGTGCTTTTGTGTAGTTAAGAAAAACAACAATGTATATGGACTTTTAATGGGAGTTGATAAAGTTTTTATTTACTGAAAAGAGGGTTAATGATTCCCTATACGTTTTTCTAAGCTTCAACTCGCCACCGCATGTTTATTCGATATCTCTTCTCTTTCCTCTTCTCTATTTACACCTATCTTCCCTACCAATCTATCTATATCGCATATAGATTTCTCACTTCTGTCTGCCTGATTCTATTTCCTTCCTACATTCTCTCTCTCTCTCTTTCTCTTTCTCTTACTATCTCCTACACTTGTTCGACCCACCGCAGTCGTACAGTTATAATTTTTTTATATACAGTTATATATAGTTAATGCACGCTTATTTTAATCCTAATCCTTTACATTCTACTCTATTCAGGCATATATAATTTGGCAAGGTGTTTTTTTTCAGGTGTACGATCGCGCGTCTGCTATTTTGATGAAGTTTTAATCGAGTTGGAGAATTTTATCAAAAGACCCAATTTCTCTTCTTTTCTTTTTTTTTATTTATGTCAGCCTATCTTTGTCTTTATTTATGTGTCCTTATTCCCTTAGCTCTAATCTACAGTCGGAGGCGCAACAAGATTTTTATCTATTAACCTTCAAAGAACGATGACCATCGGATTAGTGCTCGACAACCGTATTTGATATCTTTATCATCTTGCGCGCGCATTCCACATACAAAGCGTAAATACATTATCAAATAAATATATACAGATAAACTTCGCAACTATACCCTATATAGAATTATCATAATAATTTATATATTAGCCTATATATCTCCTATACAATGCCTATATAGATTGTTATATAAGGGTGCACTTGTAGAAATTTACTCCCTTCTTGTATCCAAGATATACATATATATATACTGTATATTAGTATATATATATATATATATACACGCTGTCCGTATGTGTATAGATAATTTACACCCCTACACGAGGTGTGCAAAGAGTACTTAATCCGCTTAACAGCTAATCCGCTAGATAATCTCGTAGAGAAAAGTGTTGCGTAACTTACCTGCGAAGCGTCTTCCAAAGCCGCTGGCAGAGCAGAACCATGAAGTCCGAGTAGGGCGGAATCCGGGTGTAAGTCAGGGTGGCCAGCTTGATATAAAATATCTGGCCGTCTAGCGTAGTCTCTACCGTAGGCAGCATAGCCCCTTTGCAGTTGTTCGTCGCGTTGCAGTAGGCGGTTGTCTGGGAAATACTGCTGGTTAAAATGGTTGATGTAGGGATCGGCTGGGTTCATATGCGCAGCCGCGTTGAAATCCATCGACTGCGGGGGGTAGGGGGGCGGAAAGTAGGGCGGTTGAAAATCCGTGGTCGGCGTATGTGTTAGGCGGGGAGTTGTTTGTGCGGCGAATGTCGCTCCGGATATGGAGCTAACTTGTCCCGCTAATCCGTGCGTGGTGAGCGGGTCCCTTCGGTCCTGAAAGTGAGTAAATAGACAAGTTAAAAGCAGTTCATCAAACGGTTTGATTTCGCCGTCCTCTTAGCAGGGAAGTAGAGGAGTATAACGGCGATTGACCCTCCCCTCTCAAATAGAAAGACCGAAGAAAACAAGAGGACAAATACACGCGTACTTACACACCTACTTTTTAAGCCCTTCCGTTACCTTTTACCACCTTTTAATATTTGCAAAGTCTTTTTCTAAACTCTTCCTAAATAAACTTTATGATCTCTTTTACGATTTCGGCCTACAAATATCGAATTTCCACGTGCCAACCTTTCCTTTTCTCTATCATTTTATCGAATAAAATAAAATTGACGGAATATTTCTCTCTTCATTCTTTTTTTTCTCTTTTTTTTCTCTATCTCTCATTACATGCACATATATATATGTGTACCCCTCCCCTTCTTTCTCCGATAAACATCTCTCAAACCATCTGACTGACCGGCTGGTCTACTGACAAATACAGCTATTTCCGCTCTGATATTTCCGCCTCCCAAAAACCTCATAAACCTCTTCCTCTCGTTTCTTGTTCTACTTTATCAATTTTATCAGTCGTTTATAAAAACAACACGTGACCGATTTCTGATAGGTGATCTTAGGACAAAACACAATATTTCAGCATATACAAGTATACAATCATTCATAGAGCGAGTCGTTTTCACTAGGCCGAATGTTTGTTTGTCTTAGTTTTCAGAACGACTTTGAAACGAGCAACTCGATATCTAAACGCGCCAAACGTATTGATTGTCGGTCACAACCAGCTCTCTCTTATCATACCAAGTCTCTCTTTATTTTCGTGCTAGCTAGTCACATTAGACAGACAATATATACACTTTTTTCGCTGCCCTCTTTTCGCGTCCCTTCCCGGCTCTGCCATCACGCAATAAACAAAGACATAAAGCAACTCTAAAGGAATTTTGTTCACTTGAAATAGTCTCGTTCGAGGCCAGTTACCCATTCGCATTTTTTTTAGTATAAATAAACGTAAATATCTGAAAGGGGAGATGACCTACAAAAGATAGATGAAAGTAATAATGATTTATTTAAAATGATCTTATTCTATATTGTATTTACAGACTTCTTTTGCCATGAGAAGAAGAAATTTCAAAGTAAAAAAGAAAAAAAAAACACTTTAACCCGATTTTTAAATTATGGCCAAGGAAAGAAAAATTAAGGGTGTAGTAAAAAAGGAAATGAAGCAGAGAAAGGGGAGAGAGAGAGAGAGAGAGAGGGAGGAAGAGAATAGAATAGAAAATGGAAATGTTACGCGCGCAAATGCTTTCGGGAATGTGTTTATGAATAAATTAATAATCATCTAGTTGAGAGAAAAAGAGAGAGGTGCATTAAAAAAAAAAGACTGCTTTTTTTCCACAAGGCAAATATCGAATAATAAGAAAACGTACAGCTTTCCTCTCTTTTCCTAAAATTCGAAACATATATATATTGCCGGAGGCCTTGTTTATAAAACAACGAATATATGGGTCATCAAAATATCTCTGGTGATAGATTCGTCCTTTTTTGAGATTTCCTCCCTCTACTATCGTCTATCTCTCTCTCTCTCTCTCTCCCATTCTAATTCTATCTATTCTCTTTATATACTTATATACAGATACACAAATCGGTCTTTCTTTTAAGAGCACGTGCGAAAATCCCTTCTTATTCTTCGTTTGAACACTGCGAGTTTAATCTGGTAGAACGGCAGGGGTTTCGGTGATTTCAATGACCAATTCCCCTACTTGATGCCGATCGGTTTGTATTGCGTAATTCTCTATTATGTCATAGGCACGTTTCGTGGGTGGTCGAGAGAGATTATCATCTTTGGGAATATTTATGACGCACCAGAGTGTTTATAAACATCGTAAATTAGCTTTGCTATTTTTTCCTACCTTTTTTGCATTCTTTTTTATTTTGGCGTTAAATAGCCCCGCTTTAGGCGACTTTCACTAAAATTTGACACGGATACGAATAGAAAGAATCATTGTTGAAGAGTAAAAGATAGGAAAAGAATTTTTTCTTTTCGCTTGTGATTTACTTTATTTCTTTTTTCTCCTCTTATCCCTTTTTTCCGGATAAGAACGATTTTAAAAAGAAAAACCTTTACTTAACTATGTCAGATAATCGAATAAACAAAACAATTGTTCTTCTATTTTCCATACAAATTTCGACGTTGTTCTACTTAATTATTTAAAACTTTAACATAATTTTTTTTGTATCTGCCTCGTCTATAAAAGATCTATAATCGAATATTAAAAGGTGAAATTCTTTTTACCGGATTTAACGACAATAACGATTCAACTAGTCGACTCTTTAAAAAATCGTTTTTATATCCCACAAAACAAATGGATTAGTCTCTTCCTATTTCTTTCTCTCTTTTTCGTTGAGGTTGTAATTTTTACATTATATCTCTCTTGTTTTATAATTCCTTTATTTCCGCTAATCAGCCCTTTTTTCTCTCTTTACACACATATATATATATATATATATATATATATATATATATATACATGTACAGAGTCAGTCTAGTAGCTGGTAAAGTGGGAATAATTGTTCTTTTTACTGGGGCGTCAATATATACTAAACGTTCTCGACTATACATAATTGGAGAAAATCGACAAAACTCATGAATATTCAGAGGAAAAAGCGTGGTATTTACACACGTTCGAGCGTCGACAGTGTGTACAAGAGTACTATGTGCTAAAGTAGTTGCCTACGGGCACCATCAGAATGTTGTCCACTCGTCCAGCTGCCTTGCACGAGTCAGACTCACATGTGCCGCGAAAATTTCATGTTATTATACTTTTTTTTTTACTCCAAATTGAAAGAAAAAAAAGTAGAAAATTGATATTTAAACCAAGCAGTGATGACGTACCTCTGGTTCGATTATACCGAAAGCTGACGGCATTATTATGTCCTTATCTTTACGTAAATCGACGGATCTTTGAGAAACAATCGCCATTTAGTGCATCCTACACTTCGAAAGAAATGTAGGTCTAGAGGCTAGGTGAAAAATCCGTAAAAAATACCGCTTCAGGCTCAAAAACACGCACTCGGATGTGAAAGGCAACTACCTGGCGATAGACGGCGTTGTCTTTACCAATAGGAAAATTGATTGGCCCAAGCTCGAGAGTAGCGACCAATCAGAGACAACCATAAAATTAAGCCCCTCCCACATCTAGTCTCGACCGAGTTAGACGGCTAATTAACTTCGTCTAGAACTGGTAACTTTCCCGTCGCTATGTTTTTCCAGTTATAATTTGTAGGCAAACGAACACTTAGCGTGGCAGATGTGAAAGTAAGAAAGATAGTTTATGAGGAAGAGTTGTAAATTTTTCTTGAATTTTTCTTCTTTTTTTTTAAATAATCGCGTTTGTGACTAACAATACAAAGATTATTGCGAAAAAATCGACCGAGTCGGTCGTTTTGAAGTTATTGTGACAAAGCTGTTTGAATAGAATTCTATATCGAACACTTTTCTTTCTAAGCGCCGACATTTTGTAAGAGAGAAAATTAGAGAAAAAAAATAATAATAAAGAATATTTTTTGTGAGTGAGTAGTGAGTGAGTGAGTGAGTGAGTGAGAGAGAGGAAGAGAGAGAGAGAGAGAGAGAGAAAACGAAAGAAAAAAAGAGTAGTAGAGAGAAAAGGTGTCAAAAAACAAAATTGTTGTAGGACCTAAGGCAACTGGACATGATTTTTTTTCCCAAACGAAATTCACTTACCTAAGATAAAGTAATATATATAGCTATATAGACATATAAATACCTGTTTAATGAATTTATATATGTATATATATATATATAAAGAAAGGGAAATGCGATAATAAAAATAAAAAAAGTATGGTACCGTTGTAATTAGGAGATTGTTGTTTTGGCGGATAAATTGACAATAAAGATCAACAATTTATAATAAGGATAAATGTTTCAAGAGACAATACAAACTCTTGAATGAAAAGGAAAGGGAATGAATAGAAGAGAAAAGTTTTTTTTAAGAAATGATTAGATGGATTGAAAGATAGAAAGAAAGTAGGAAAGAGGATAAAAAATGAAAGAAAAATACCTGCAAACTGAGCATAATAAAGTAATATCCTATAGGACGTTTGTGGTTATCCAAAAATTTTGCGCAACGTTTACAAATAATGGCCAAAGGCAAATGGCAGTGGAATTTTCGCTTTCCGCCGCCCAAATGACTTTTAAAGAACAAACTGTAGATGGCGCCATGAGATAAGGCGGCCAATTTTCCAACCAATCACCAGCTGAGATAGCTACTTTGCGAATACGTTAACTAGCTGTTAACATTAACTCTATGAATTTTATATTGTTAATTAACATTTGAGTTGGAATGGAGAGAAATATTCTTTTTGGGTAAATAAAAAAAATCAGCCTGGGGTGATGCCTTTGGACAAAATACACACTAGCATCTGCGTCCGACTCAATATTGAGTAATCCGATCGTTAGTTGAGTAATTTAAAACTCATTAGCATGTTTGAACGGCGTTCGCCGAAAAATAGGCCTCTGGACAAACTCAACAATCTCTGTTGATTGACAGCCATGTTTTTAGCGTCTTGTCAAATTCGATAAATGGACGCTGAGTTATTCGATTAAAAGTGCCATCAATATTCGCTCCAATGCCTCAGCCATGAATACTTCAATTCTAATTTTCTCAGGTACGAATAAATACATTTTTAGTAAATCCTAAATGATTCTCCAAAATCAACAAGGCAAACTAGCCGCTGGGCTAAAGCAAAAATACACACACACACACACACACACACACACTCGTACGCGCACTGACAATGTCCTACTTTCTCGTATCCTCCTCCTTCTCCTTGCTAAATTATTTTTAAAATTCGATTATCTCTTGCCTTTCTCTCTCTCCTACTTCTGTATCATTAGACGGCGCATTCTGTCCACCCCCTTCCCCTCTCCTCCGTCCTCCTTCCCTATTCCACCCAATCCCTAAACCCATTACGAACGAAGCGTTACGGCATTATTCAATTACTTTGGTATTACGATTATTACAAAGTGAATCTCGGACGGGTAAACGCATCGGCCGTTGATTGGCGGATAATTGTAATATTATTTTAAAAGCCTATATAGTGTATAAGCGCAACTTATCGAGAGAGAGAGAGATGATTCAATTGAATTGAAAAAAAAATGACAGGGTCAAGTGGTAATAAATATATTATTGGTTTTTTCCTATTGAATAAAATTTTTTGCGGTCGAATATGAATAGGTGAAGAGTAATAGAAAAACAACAATGATGGATAGGAAAATATCTCGTGCCAGTTTCTTTTTTTCATTTGTTTTGTTAGCAAGTTGTCTCTTTCTCTCGCTATTGGTTCCTTTCAACGGTAAAATTACAACAAGTAGCCTTATTATAAGCGTGTATATATATAAAAAAAAAGTAATAATAAAGGAATTGAATGATAGAAGAGGATTGAATGAACCCGTCGTGATGAATGAATGGATGAATGGAAGAGAGGTATGAAAACTCAATTTAAAAAAATTAAAAAAAAAATCACGCTGATCGGATCTTTTGGCCGGCGGAGCCATTAATTTTCGTACCGATTGGATCGTCCGTCAAAACAGAAAACGTTCAGACAAACAGAGGGCAGAATCGGGTTAGCGCCCCCTGGTGCGAGTTTGCGACCCCTTTTTGTCGAATTTCTCGCCATCAAAAACGCCGAATATTTTTACGCCTTGGGGTAGAAAAGGTAAAATTTTAAAAGCAATTTCTATTATAGGCCTATTAGATAAACAGATGTGTAAAGGTGAAAAAAATTTATATAAAAATCGAAACTTTTAATTTTTTTTACAAATCATTTCGGCTTTCTGCCATAAAAAAAGCCTATACAAAACACTTTGTTGCTTAGCAACTGTAAAAAAATATTTACCCGAGCTAATAACCTTTCTATTTTCATTCGTCAAGAACCGCCTTATTCTCTTATCTATTTTCAAAAAGGATTTCAAATCGTCTTTGATCTTTTCTCTGCCGATAAGAAACGGCTTTGGTGGAGAGAAAATATGATTTATTATTCTACTCTTCTATACCCTTCTATCGTTTATCGACCCAAAAAAGTACACTTTATGAAATACTAAACGGAAGTGACAAACAATTGGCGAAAGGGAATTATTGCAGATTTTTCCATAAAAGCTGTGTCATTCGAATTTACTTCCTGCTCGTTGAACACGTTTGGAAAAGTGAAAAAGGGAAAGAAACGGATGTCTCTATTAAACGCTCAACGATTCGCTCTCTCATTCATTCATCTCATTCACTCATTCATTTATTCACTCATTCATTTGTTCATTCAGTCATTCATCCACCCGCTATGAAAACTGAGTGACTAGTTGGATGACCGGCCGACCGGCCGACTGACTGACTGACTGGCTGGCTGCATGCATGCCCGCTTGAACGAATGAACAAATGACAAGGGAAGAGAGAAAGGTAGACTAGAGGAAAGAGAGAAATTGATCCCTGTTCAAAACTTGTATCGGTCATTCTATAGTTGGTATTTAATATACGACTGTTGGTCGAATGCTTTAAATAATCTTTGTTACTATGGAGCTCGGAAGTTGGATTGTTTCAAGCTTTCCGGTCAGGTGGGAAGCTAAGGGTAGCAATTTTTTTCACACCGTGTATATTACTCGCTTGAGACAGGTGAAAATCGAAGAGGCGCGAGAGTGTATTCAATTTGACAAGGGAATCATGTCCGGGATAGCAATGGTCCGGATGCCCTGCGGCTTATATCCATATTCTAGGCATGTGAAGGGAAGGAAGGAAAGGAGAAAAATAATAGGGTGGAGGGAGAAAGGAAGGAGAGGGAGGCAGAGAGGTGGAGAAAGAAACAGAAAGAGAGGGACAGAATAGAGACGATGTAATTAATTGGAAAAGAGCAAAAAGAAAGAGACTGGACAGGGAAAGTAAAGACGGTATCAGACCAAGCAATCGGTAAATTAAAAATAATACCGTTTAGCCTTCTAACTAATTAAGAATCGCAAACCGCCGCCTCGTAACAATAGCATTTTAAGCACCGCCCATTTTTTTACTACTCTCCAAACAATCACCCCTTTTCATATCGAACCTTGTTAGGTAAAAAAGAACAAAAAGAGAAAGAAAATGATCGTTATCTTTCTCTATCTCCCTCTCTTTCTATCCGACCAGAAAAATTCCTTTCTTTGAATTTATAACGGTAGAAACAGTATTTCATTTATCACGTGACCAAATACTGTACAATTTTATAATTCGTTGAAGAATCTACTTGAAAAACTCCTTTAGAAGCTTAGAAGGCAATTGAACGACAATCGTTGGAAATTCCATTGTTGGAATACGGCGATTATGGATTTTGAATATCGTTTCATTTCTATAATAAAAAGATGATCGTTTTCTACAAATATTTACAAATAAAACATGGCTGAGCAATTAGCCAGAAAAGAAAAACTAGATTGAGTCTAGCGATTAATAGCTGCAGGTGGACGTTAGATGATGCGGCCGATAAACAGCTTAACGGGTTTAAAATGAAAGAAATAATTACTCTACGGAACGAGATAAGAGGGTCCGTTTCCGATTTTTACAAAAAGCCCTACTCTTAGATCCTTAACTCTCATCATCCAACATCTTCTCTATTACACCTTTTCTTCCTTCACTCTTTCTATACGATATATACTGTATAATTCGCCTCCTTCTCCACCTCCTCCACCCTACTTTCCCACCCTCTTCATTGACAAGTTCCTTATTTTCTTTTTATTATTACCTATCTTGCCAAAATTCCTAGCGACTTTCTGCCATTGTCTTTCTACAATAAGAAAAAGTCTATTAAGATTGCTATCAAGATCCTTTCGGTTTTCACAATATTCTCTTCTTTATTTCATTCCTTTCCTTTATCATCTTGTTCTTGTTCTTCTTGTTCTTCTTCTTCTTTCATTTGATTCTTTTCACTTTTATTAACCCCGCTTAAATTGCTTACATTGAACTCTTCAGGTCGTTTCTTTCTCTTTTCTTTTTTGATTTGTTCTCTCTGTCTCTCTTCGCTTACTTGGTGACCCTAAAACTTGCCTATTCCCCATTTCTTAATTCGGGGTTATTAC